GTGAGTACCCCGTTTAAACCTTTAAACCCTTGGGCCTACACTCAAATATACTCAGCCATGCCAGTGTGCTGACATACGAACACGTACGTACACGTACACGTACACACAGTGTACGTGGTGTCATTCATGTGTTATAAGGATTTCCTTAATGCATTCTCATCCGAATGTTCAATATTGGCTGGTATTACTCTCTTATTTTTTTATTTTCTCACTTTTTCCTGATTTTGGCTCCATGTATGCCTGTTTCCTTGTGGCTGTATCCTGTGGCTGTATCCTGTGGCTGTATCCTGTGGCTGTATCCTGTGGCTGTATCCTGTGGCTGTATCCTGTGGCTGTATCCTGTGGCTGTATCCTGTGGCTGTATCCTGTGGCTGTATCCTGTGGCTGTATCCTGTGCCTGTTTCCTTGTGGCTGTATCCTGTGGCTGTATCCTGTGGCTGTATCCTGTGGCTGTATCCTGTGGCTGTATCCTGTGGCTGTATCCTGTGCCTGTTTCCTTGTGGCTGTATCCTGTGGCTGTATCCTGTGGCTGTATCCTGTGGCTGTTTCCTGTGGCTGTATCCCTGGGCTGTATCCTGTGGCTATCCTGTGGCTGTACCTGTGCCTGTTTCCTTGGCTGTATCCCGTGACTGTATTACGTGGCTGTATCTGTGGCTATTGCTGTTTCTGTTTCTGTGGCTGTATCTTGGCTGTATGCATGTGGCTTATCCTGATGCCTGTTTCATTGGCTGTATCTTGGCTGTATCTTTGGTTGATCCACTTTGTCCTGATTATCTGTGCCTGTTTCTTGCTGTATCCTGTGACTGTATTCTGTGGCTGTATCCTGTGGCTGTCTTGGCTGTATGCTCCTGTTTCCTGTGACTGTATCATGTGGCTGTATCCTGTGGCTGTATCCTGTGGCTGTATCCTGTGGCTGTATCCTGTGGCTGTATCCTGTGGCTGTATCCTGTGGCTGTATCCTGTATGTTTTGCCTGAAGGACTTACTAAGGACAGTAACCAAGAAGTTGTTGCGTATGACCTGGATGTGTTCGTTGAGGTAGTTACCAGTCCGGACCTGCCTTAACTTAGCATGGGTCTTTGTGGCGTTCGCTGCAGGACCTGCCTCTTTAATCTGTGCTGGTTTAGCGTTGAGCTTACGTCAGACTGCTCTTACTTAGCTGGGTTTGTCGTTGGAGTACGCTCAGGACCTGCCTCTAACTTAGCATGGTTGTAGCGTTGACCTACAGGCTCCAGGACCTGCCTTTTCTTGCATGGGTTGTGCGTGAGCTACGCTCAGGACCTGCCTTGAACTTAGCATGGGTTGTAGGTTTGAGCTAGTCCAGTACCTGCCTTTAACTTGTATGGGTTGTGAGTTAGCTACGCCAGGTACCTGCTGGCTTAACTTAGCTGGGTTTGTAGCTTGAGCTACAGCTCGAATCCCTGCTTAACTTAGCTGGGCTGTTTACGCGTTGGCTACGCCAGGACTGCTTAACTAGATGGGTTGTAGCGTTTGACCTACGCTCAGACTGCCTCTTACTTGCATGGGTTGTCGTTGAGCTACAGTCCAGGACTGCTCTTAACTTAGCATGGGTTGTAGTTGAGCTACAGCTCCTGGACTGCTCTTAACTTAGCATGGGTTGTAGAGTTGTGAGCTACTCCAGGACTGCTCTTGCTTATCCATGGTTGTAGCTTGAGCTCAGTTCCACCTTGCCTCTTACTTAGCTGGTGTAGCGTTGGTACAGTCCGGACTCTTGCTTAACTTAGCATGGGTTGTAGACTAGACCTACAGCTCAGGCTTGCTTTAACTTAGCATGGGTTGTAGCGTTGAGTACAGCTCAGGACTGCCTTACCTAGCCATGGTATTAGCGTTGGCTACAGCTCCAGGATCTGCGTCTACACTTCACATGGTGTAGCGTTGAGCTAGTCAGGACCTGCTCTTAACTTAGCAGGGTTCAGCGTGAACTCACTCTAACTGCTCTTAATCTTATTGACTGTGAGGTTGAAATCCGGCTCCTGGACCAGCTTCTTCATCTTCCCATGACTGAGAGTGTTCGCCTCGTCGCTGACATCCTGTCACACTTATTAAGTAAAGTTCTTTGCTATGATAAACAAGACACATATACAACACTTGGGTATCTTTATTGTGGAGATGTTTCGCCTCACAGCAGCTTCATCAGTCCAATACAAAGAATAATGGTGAAGATCAGAAGGAGTTTGAGGTAATCAGTCCCCCAGCTTGGAGTCGATGTAATCAGTCCATCAATTTTATCAAGATTGAGGGACTGAGTACCTCAAAGTCCTTCTGATCCCCACTAGTTTCTATGTACTGGACTGATGAAGCCACTGTGTGGCGAAACGTATAGGCCTCTGACTGAGGCCTACACAGAGCCCTCTATCCACTGTATTGTTGTTGGGAAGTGTGTTGGAAAATGTGTTGGGCAAAGTGTTGGGGAGGGTGTTAGACTGTTGGAGAGTGTGTATGAGAGTAACAGGTGTTGGGGAGAGTGTTGGAGCCAGGCAAGGTAACAGAGGGTCAGGAAGGACAGTAATTCCATCACGGAGACCACCAGAATTACCCTCAACCAATTGATATTTCCCACTCTTCTTCCTCCTCCTCCTCCTCTTCCCCCTCCTCCTCCTCCTCCTCCTCCCTCTTCTTCCTCCTCCTCCTCCTCCACCTCCTCCTCCTCCTCCTCTCCCTCCTCCTCCCCATATCCTCCACCTCCTCCCTCCTCTCTCCTCCTCCTCCTCATCTTCCCCCTACTACTCCTCCTCCATTCCACTACTTCCTGTTGTCTATTTTCCCCTTCCTCATGTGTGTTGTTGCTGCAGATTTTATGTGTGTTTTTTTCCGCGATATTCAACACTCAGCTAAAATAAAAATCCATGTCCTGGAAATTAATAGCAGAAATTTGCTCGTGTGTGTGTGGGGGGGCAGCACACACACACACACACACACACACACACACACACACACACACACACACACACACACACACACGGGAGAACACACAGGAGAAGAGTGGTGGAACACCTAGAAAGGAACGATCTCATCAACAGCAGCCAACATGGTTTCAGGGACGGGAAATCCTGTGTCACAAACCTACTGGAGTTCTATGACATGGTGACAGCAGTAAGACAAGAGAGAGAGGGGTGGGTGGATTGCATTTTCTTGGACTGCAAGAAGGCGTTTGACACAGTTCCACACAAGAGATTGGTGCAAAAACTGGAGGACCAAGCAGGGATAACAGGGAAGGCACTACAATGGATCAGGGAATACTTGTCAGGAAGACAGCAGCGAGTCATGGTACGTGGCGAGGTGTCAGAGTGGGCACCTGTGACCAGCGGGGTCCCACAGGGGTCAGTCCTAGGACCAGTGCTGTTTCTGGTATTTGTGAACGACATGACGGAAGGAATAGACTCTGAGGTGTCCCTGTTTGCAGATGACGTGAAGTTGATGAGAAGAATTCACTCGATCGAAGACCAGGCAGAACTACAAAGGGATCTGGACAGGCTGCAGACCTGGTCCAGCAATTGGCTCCTGGAGTTCAATCCCACCAAGTGCAAAGTCATGAAGATTGGGGAAGGGCAAAGAAGGCCGCAGACGGAGTACAGTCTAGGGGGTCAGAGACTACAAACCTCACTCAAGGAAAAAGATCTTGGGGTGAGTATAACACCAGGCACATCTCCTGAAGCGCACATCAACCAAATAACTGCTGCAGCATATGGGCGCCTAGCAAACCTCAGAACAGCATTCCGACATCTTAATAAGGAATCATTCAGGACCCTGTACACCGTGTATGTTAGGCCCATATTGGAGTATGCGGCACCAGTTTGGAACCCACACCTAGCCAAGCACGTGAAGAAACTAGAGAAAGTGCAAAGGTTTGCAACAAGACTAGTCCCAGAGCTAAGAGGTATGTCCTACGAGGAGAGGTTAAGGGAAATCAACCTGACGACACTGGAGGACAGGAGAGATAGGGGGGACATGATAACGACATACAAAATACTGAGAGGAATTGACAAGGTGGACAAAGACAGGATGTTCCAGAGATTGGACACAGTAACAAGGGGACACAGTTGGAAGCTGAAGACACAGATGAATCACAGGGATGTTAGGAAGTATTTCTTCAGCCACAGAGTAGTCAGTAAGTGGAATAGTTTGGGAAGCGATGTAGTGGAGGCAGGATCCATACATAGCTTTAAGCAGAGGTATGATAAAGCTCACGGCTCAGGGAGAGTGACCTAGTAGCGATCAGTGAAGAGGCGGGGCCAGGAGCTCGGACTCGACCCCCGCAACCTCAACTAGGTGAGTACAACTAGGTGAGTACACACACACACACACACATGGTCCCACTCTAGCCAGTACTTCTGTGTGTGTGATGGTGTTCTGTGCGTCAGGACACAGGCAGTGTGTCTCCTGACACTGGCATGTATCCACTATTGACCTGCTAGGTGTTAGACCATCCACCCTCCTACTAATGCTAGGTTTTACACAGTTATGAAAAAAGGATAAACCACGTAATTAAGCAAGCAAGTGTGGCCGGGCTGTCATTGCCCAGATCGTCTGGGTCACCACTCTCTTACCCTCCGTGTGTGAGTCTTGTTTGTCCAATTCTTAATAGTGCCAAGGTGTCATATATTTTTTTATTAACACATCGACCGTTTCCCACCAAGGCAGGGTGACCCGAGAAAGAAGAAGGACTTTCATCATCATTCACTCCATCACTGCCTTGCCAGAAGTGCGCCTACACCACAGTTAAAAAACTGCAAAATTAACTCCCCTCCTTCAGAGTGCAGGCACTGTACTTCTCACCTCCAGGACTCAAGTCCGGCTAACCAGTTTCCCTCAATCCCTTCATAAATGTTACTTTGCTCACACTCCAACAGCACGTCAATTCATAAAAACCATTCGTCTCCACTCACTCGTATATAATATGCTCACGCACGCCTTGATAATACCCACAAGCTGATGAATAAGACACAGGAGCAACACTATCCTCACTGCCGAACCTCTTCG